AGTAATAAATACTCAAGTTTACCTTTTGGCAATACACGATAACTGATTTTCACACCTCCATCATACCTAAAAACCAAACTCTTTAACTTTGCTCCTGGGTTTGAACATTTTTCCACATTTAAATGGGGGGGGTTGTTCATTGTTAAATTTGAAAATGAACCAATATGAATTCCCAGCTGTTTTTTTGAGTTGCAGCTTTGTAAAACTGAGATAACATTGAGGTAGTCAGTCTCCTTCCACAGCTGAGGCAGGGCCAAATGCAGCTGATACAGAGTATCCACGCAGAACTACTAGTTTATCTAGTTACCCAAACTGGTGAAAGCAACATCATCCAACGCAGCCTAAGCACGGCGTTACAACTGCAGACAACCAGACCAATTACGTCTTTGTGTTCCTGCCCGCCCTGAGGCCACTGCTACCGTATGTGGTCAGGAGGATTTTCCATGGCTTATTAGGCAAGGTCACAAGCATTTGATACAATGGGATTTACATCTTTGGTCTGAAACGTTTCTCCCCGCGCTAATTCACCTTTCTCATCAGAGGAAGACTTCTTGATTTGAATGCGTTCTCTTCAACAGAGAAGTTCACTTCCAACAAGAGTGAAGGTGATCGGTCGATCTTAATTGTTTCTCTGCGTACTTTAAAAATTTGGAGCTATTTTACTGGAAACAAATTGTTTCAAAAGTGAGTGAAAAAGCTGAGCTGTGCAGCAAAGAACGTATTTCCCCTTTCAAGCCTCATTCAGCAGATTGAGTGCAAGCAGAAATGCAGATAATGTTCCTCTAACCTTTTGTTAAATACAATTTTAAAAACTCTGAAAAATAACTGAAGTCTGTCTGTATTCCTCACCCTCTCACAACAGTCACGTTTGTAATTGCAAGTGTACACAGCAATTAAAACCCAATAAGGCTGAATCATTTGACAAATAGAAAGAGTTAGAAAGCTGGCTTGGAAACAAAGTTCCCCTGAGAACCCACTTACATATGGAAGGATATGAATTTAAATTACAACGGCTGTAAGAGTAAAACTTCCTCTGTGGAAGTGCTGGTGGTGCCAAAGTGCTCTTTATTTAATTTCTTCTTAGGAGCTGTTTAAGTTCAGCTTAAAAAAAAAAACAAAAAAAAAACACAAGAAATTCAACACAAATTTCAGAGCGTGCCTGTTCTAATAGCAATTAAACTACCACATTTAGAGCAATGGAACGATATTGTGATAATCATGACAAACTTACCCCAGAAAATTCCTCAAGAGGGTCGCAAAAATAAATAAATAAAAAAATAAAAACCAAAAACAAACCCACAAAGTTGGAAGTAGCTGACAACATCCTAGAGCAACTATTTGATGCAACGTTATGGCCTTCTTTCTTCAAGTGATTTCCAGCTGCTTCAGATCAAGGATGGCCCATAATTCATTCGGCCATGAAGCGCTGTTTTCTACAAGAAGCTGGGGCAAGGGATCACACTGCATTCCTTTACCTCAGGGACAAAACATTTCACTCAACTACTTGATCCTAAGTTTGTATTCAAGACATCAGCCTTCCAGTGAGATCTTCCACCTACTAATCTTAATTCAGAGTATCTGCAGTCAGTGTGCAAAACCCAGCAAGCTGGGTTATTTGAAGCAATGTATCACTGTATGAGTGAAGGAAGCAAATGTACGATGCAACTTCATCTTGTACTTCTGGAAACACTTAGGAATCATGAAGTTATGATACGACCGTGTGAAAAAGCAGATTCTACTGTTGGCTGTAGCAAGAAAATCAAATGTACATCAAGTACTTCAACTGTCTCCAGAAAAGGAAATCAGATTATTTCTAAGGAACCAAAACCATTCCAGGGAAGAAGTAATACGTTTTCAAGTGCACAAGTGAAGATCTGGGTAACTCACGTCTCCTGAGCCACAGACAGTGACTAAGATGTCTGCACCTGCAGCTACAGCCCATGCTGACGCAGGGTGCCCGGGTAATTTATATCTCTTGGCTGTAGGAAGCAGAAGTCAAGAGGGACTGCTGTTAACACGGGAATCGCCTCAGGGCCAAAGCATGTTTAACGCACAGCACGCCGCAGCCCCAGAGGGTTCCTGTTGTCTCCCGAGATGAGCCCATTTCCTACCATGAGCGTGATTCAGGGATGAGGCTCTCACAGGGGTCACGGGGCCCTGGAGGTCAGCAAGGAGCCTCAGAGCAGCCCAGGGATTTGTCTGTTCTGATGACATGCCAACCTAATAATTCAAACTTAAAAGAAGAATGCTGGCCTAAGGCTTTGCAAACGTATCGCGTCTTCATTTAAAATCAGACTTAAAATTTCACTTATGAAACTTGTCTGCTTTCGCCACATGACAAACGCACTAAGGACCTGCAAAGCACAATGAATGTTATAAGAAAAGCAAGACTAAGATAGGAAAAAATGCAGTTTCAGTATAGAAGATCAGGAAGGAAGAACAGGAAAAGAAAACATTTGTAACTATGAAAAGAAAAGCTAGAATCTGAAAATGTCCAAATTCAGGAAGTTATCAGCGTAGGCACAACTAATGTTCTTTGTGGACCACTACTAAATCCAACAGCACAAAAGAACAAACTTCTCCTATGGTAGAAGCCTTCGCTGCCAAAAGCTCAAGATACTAGTGAAAAAACTTCGGTCAGGTTGTTATCACTATAGTTCATTTCACTGCACTCTCAACAGCTAAAATGAAATCACAGAAATTAGATCAACTAAAACCATTACTGAGCTATTTCCTTCGCTGCTCACTGAGATGGTTTAGAGGGCTCTTCCTCACAGAACACCCTACTATTGTATCACCTTTTGCCTAATCCTCTGTCAGGCTATTTAAAATTATCAACCCTTTGTTTTGCAACTTCGCTTCTTATCCTCTCATCCTCTAATTAGGTTTTAAGCCTTCAATCTTCTGCCCGACAGGGTCAAAATACGCTGCCTCTCAGTTTATACTTGACACATTTATTTTGAGCAGCGCCCCACGGCCCGCAGCAGGAACACTGTCCTACAGTAGCTCCCATTTCTCCAGTCAAACAGCGGATTTCTCAAAAAACCCAAGAGCTAAACTAAGAGCTACCTTTAGATGTATTTTACTTACCCTTATAAATAGATGTCTTTTTTCCCCCCAGTCAAACACTTATTTTCAGATTTTTCGCGGAGGGTCCATTGTGCTTTTCCTAATCTGCACACATTACCTCAGGAAATACATGCGAGATATCTGATTTCAGAACTTCTAAAGCTGGCGAGGCCCAGAAACGCAATCCGTACTGAGTAGCTGAAACTGGAAAAGGTCATCTCCATAGCTCACTGCATGGTAAACACGGGGAACATCCAAACTCCAACCACAAACCTTACGCTGATGAGAACTTAAAAACCTCAGAACTTCCCCTACAACATGCAATCTTTAAGTGCAAAAAACGCCCTCTTCTTCTTACCACCACGAGAAGGAAAATGTACTCGATAGACTTATTGCCTCCTGTTCCATGGAAGAAAAAAGAAAACAACAAAACATCCATTCTTTGAAGCAAAGTGTGCTTACTTCCCTTGGGAAAAAAGAAAAAAAAGTTTTCATTATTTTTGCACATAGCAAAGAAAATATGGAAAGTAAAGCAGAGAAATGTGAAGAAGCATAAGAGTTTTACTGTCTGCTGAAAGTGACAGGGAAGAGGAACCAGAATACCCTACCAGCTATTACCCTCATCAACTCACAAGCAGAAATGCCAACTGGCAGCTCCTTGTCTGACAGTGACAGCTGGCTCCAGTACCAGAACACGTCCCTGCTTCTATTAGCAGACGGTAGCAGAAAGTTTAGTTTGGATTAACAAGAAATCGAGAGCAATTCTTCAGAGTCTACATCACACGCTGTGTGTTGGAAGAACAACAAATTCTAGTGTGTACTTTTATCTGAAAAAGGAAAAAGTTATTATTAAGGTATGGAACATTATCAGCAAGAATCCAGGAATCCTGCTATACCACATCCGGTTAAATTAGAAAGACACAGTATTAATTGCTCTACATACCCATCACTAAGTTCTTGCTATTAGAACACAAGGCAGATAACTTCCTATCCTTTCCCCAAGACAATGTAAGATTTTACAATTATTTTTTTCCAAAATACATCAGAAAGACCATTCAAAGTATTTCCAAAGGCAGCTCAGACACACACACTGTAAGGGCTGAGGTGGCAAAACGTATGCTGAACAAGACCCACCGGTACCTATTTGAGAGTTTCAGATACGTCCTCCCTTACCTATGCATTAAATACACTTAATTTATCATATGAAAACAAATGCCAATTCTTCACAATGACAGACTTACTGATCCAGACATAAAACTCAGAAGAAGGCTGCATGAAAAATAAAATCTCATACTAATAACTGAAGTCAGGTGTAAGGGGCATCGTAAGCATTGTATAATTTATAAGTTGTTGGTGCAGACAAAACTAGTGAAGATAATGACAGCATCAGAGCAATTACTGAAGAAGATCATCGCAAAGAAGCTGCACAATGACTGCTGATCATCATTACTGCACAAGCCAGACTATCCATGTATAAAAAGACATTCTGAGAGGGGGAAAAAAAAAAGAAAAGAAGGAAAATAAGATAATGGCAATAAGCAGTAAGGACAGAAGATTTTGCATCCAAGTATCCTGTGGAAGACAGAGAATAAAGTAACCAAACTATTTGGGAGACTATTAATAAACCCATTCTAATCAATAACTAAGCTCCTAGATGTTTTTTCTATGATCTCCAGTTTGTAATTCTTAATAATTGTAAATGCAGCCTTCCATGAGCAGAAACACACCATTTTTACCATAAAACAAAGTCAAGAACCAAGAGAACAAAATCCATTTGAACTTCTTCTCAAATGATGAGCTCTGCAGCACTCTTCAAACTCATTCCACCATTCTGGATGCAACTACACACCCCACTGTTCCAGTTGCAGCTACATCTACATATCAGGCATTACTTTTGCAGAACAATTGATTTCTGTTTCACTGCTACTTACCATTGGAGGCAAACCTCAGGCTAAACATACTGTTTCAGAACTACATTAGTTTGTTGTCTCCGAAGCTCCCTCCTCTTCAAGTCATTCCCCAACCCTGGGAAGTGGTTATTCCACATCAAGTTGTAAGGATCAAACACTCATCACCACACAAAGCCACCAGACAATTTTCTAACTGCAGAGTTTGATTGCAATATTCAGTCACACAGTTGCCAGCAGGCGATACTTTTTCTGATTCACAGTTTCAAGATTTTTCTTCCCCAACATCAGGGCGGACCAAACCTTATTTTTTAAGATTTCCTGCTCAGATTTCCAGCTGAATGTGCAGCTATGCAAACACTGCAGAAACATTCCAATTCCTACACTGTTTTATAAACCAGGGTCACTGTTTTTCCCAGTACTTTCACATTACTGGAATTAAGAGAATCTTTTTTACTAAGCAGCCCGATAACATCATAAGGAAACAAACGAAGACTAAGTTGACGAGAGAATTACGCACATTAGAATTTTACCAATTAGCACTGCCAATTCTGAGTTAATTGCATGTAGACGTGCATAGTTTTACATGAAACTGTATATTCACAAAATGTTTACATACAATATAGCTAGCCAAGATGAAAGTAAAAGATATAATGATCATCTCACCAAGTTCTACAACATAATATCTGCCTGCACCTCACTGCCACCACAACTTCACAGCAGAAAAGCTAATGCACGCTTGCTGCCAAACAGGGTTCCACAACTCCCCTCAACTTTGTTTTTGCCAGGCCATTTATATCTTCACCACAGAACTGCCAAGCTTTACCTGCCTGGTAGCAGAGTTAGCAACGCATGGGCGAGGAGCCACCTTCACCAAGCACTCCCAAGGTCCATCAGCACGGAAACCCCAGCACTGACAGTGGATCACGCAGAAAAGCCTTGACCTTATCTTTGAGTTCAGGACCTCGGGTGCCGCAGATCAGAGCATTTGCTGAGCTCCTCAGCAGCACACGTGTTCCCAGGCACCTGCACTGTCACAGCAACCATAGGAAAGGTGGGATTGCTAAGCAACTTCAGTACAGATGAGCTTAATAGAAAGCTGCTTGAAGAAGCAAAGCTGTTCTTTATACAATCACACCAAAAACTGAAGTTCAGTTTATCTGAATAGCAATGTTACTGGAAAGCAGTACACAAAACTTTCATACAGAGCTACACAAAATGCAAGGGTTTACCTACTGCTACTCAGAAAAGTTTTGTAGATGAAAGCAGGACTGGAATCTGACAAGCTGTGGCTAAATATGATTATGGAGTGCAAAAAAAAAAAAAAAAAGGCAGGAAAAGTTAACTCTAAAGGCGCTCTGCAGACTCGGCGTAGAGATATCAAAGTAACCGATCGGGGTGGCAAAAGATGGCAAACGAACCGCGGGGAGGATAAAGCGGCGCATACAGCGTTAAGCCCATCTGCTACGGCCGGGACAGCGCTGCATTGAGCCCACCAACGCCACAGCCGTGCCTCGCGGCAGCCGCCGACAACCCTCGGAACACCGCGCTGCCCACCGCCGCCTCTCCACACCCAACCACGGGCTTCTATCGCTACCAACACACCGGGAAAGTTTTCTACCCCCCTCCCCGCGCCGCTGGGACACACCTCTCGGCACCGTCCCTCCTCCCACCCACATCCTCGCATCGACGTTCCACACAACCACCGCGGGCCGCCCGGAGGACCGCCGTCACCTCAGCGCCGTCCCCACAACGCGGCTCTCTCCCGTTTCGGCCCTCTCCCCGGGAGCCGGGAGCCGCGCACGGCGGGGCCTCAGCCCGATACACCCCCCCCCCCTCCTCCTCCTCCTCCTCCTCCTCCACCCCGGGCCCCGTCTGTGGAACCGGAGAGACGCAGCTTCTCCTCCCGCCGCCGCCGCGTTGTGTGAGCCCCCCTCAGCCTGTCCGCGGCTTACGGGAGGGTGGGGGGGTGGGGGGCGCGCGCGCTGTTAGCGCCAATGGCCCCTCACGGGCGGCGCGCGCGGCCCGCGGGCGGGAATGGCCCTGAGGGAGGCCGTGAGGGGAAAGGCGGAGGGAGGGGGGGAGAGGGGGCAGCGCACACTCACCGCTGAGGCGCCGCCACGCTGAGCCCCCTTCTCCTCAGTGCCGGGGGGGCGGCTCCGCCCGGGGAACAACGAACGCCAAAAGGCTGCGGAGCGCGGCCTCCTTTCACCGCCAACAGAAATTAAAAAAAAAAAAAGAAAAAAAAAAGAAAAAAAAAAAAAAAAAAGACAGAAAACAGTTTAAAAAAAAAAAAAAAAAAAAAAAACTTTCCTCGCCGCCGTCTCCCTCCCCCGAGGAGCACGAACCCAAACACACTAAGACACGCCCCCGCACCGCCCCTCGCACCGCCCATTGGATTGCGCCCCGACGACCCCCAAGCTGATTGGCTGACTCGTCTGCTCGTCTCATCTCTCTCCGCCCCTGAATGTTGTCTATTGGGGAGAGCTATATGGATCTCCCCGCCCATTAGCCACGGCCCACGTCCATCAAAGAGAAACATCCGCCTTCCAGCTCCTCTAATTGGACAGTCTCGCCAGTGCCCCCTCAATGATTGGCTGCCCCGGCTGACTGTCACGTATTGACGTCGCCTCCCTCGCTGGCTGCCCGACCCTCCTCCCACTCCTCCCGTTGGCTGGGAGGTTGGCCCAGTAAATGAGACGCCCGCCCCTGTTTGCCCCGCCCCCTCCACGCTACGGATTGGCCGGTGGGTTGCGCCCTCGCACGCCATTGGCGAAGAGATGTGCTCGTCACACTGAAACACGAAGAGGCCCGCCCATCGAGCCGCGGCCCTCGGCGGCGGCGCTGGAAACGAGGTCGGAGGGGAGGCTGCACCAGCGTGCGTCCTTCCTCTGCCCAATGGAGGAGACGGGCACACGCAGCAATAAGGAGGACCGCCGCCACCGCTGCCTCGTGATGCCAGGCGGCAACAACGCCACATTCCTGCCGTCTGCAACGACATTTGCTTCTTGCCCCGCCCTTCCCACACAGCGATTCGGCGGGGCGGATGTCAGTCGCACTACTCGCCAGTCCATTGGTGCGCGGCGACTCCTCCGCAGCCAATTGGCAGCCGCTCCCGGTGTCACTCACCGGATTACGCGCAGGCGTGGGCGCGAGGGGGCGTTCCCCTCCCTATGGTTGGTTGAGTTAGCTATCAGTCCCCGCGCTGTCTCGCGGCGGCCGGGGGGAAGGCTGTGACGGGCTGCGTGATGCGGCGGGGGCGTCACGTGGCTCCCGCAGTTGCGCACGTGACGGGGCTGGCGGCCGTTGGTGTGGGGGAAGGGTTGTGTGAGGCGCTCCCTGAGAGCGTGGTTTGGCGGCACTGCCGCTGCACACGGCAGTGGGCTGGAGGGAAACGGGGGCTGTGGGGTCAAGAAGAGTTGAGGAGGAGATGAGCAGAAGCAGGGGAAGGAGCGCTCTGAGGGGACCTGTGGGGTCATCAACGCTCAGACGTGGGGGTCGGTGTTGGATGACGTGGGTCCCTTCTAGCTCGGACTTCTGTGATCACAGAGGCATTTGAGAGGGAGAGAAAATGGAGGTGTGCACCCCGTTTCCATGCTCTTTTGGTTCTTCAGTATTGCTGAGGACTGCTGTTAGCACAGTGGCTGTCACCTCCCGACCTCACCCAGGCCTGTGTGCCAGTGCCATGTTTCCACTGGGTCTCCTCGGGAGAATCCTGTTGCAACACTGCAGCAGCTGAAAATGGAGTTTTGGTGCCAAAAAAGCAAACGAGAGATGCAATGACACCGACCTGGTCATGAGGATACTGAGGAAAAAGCCAGTTTTTGTGGTGGGTTTTTTGTTTGTGTTTTTTTGGTTGTTTTTTGGTTGTTTTTTGGTTTTTTTTTTTTTTTTTGGTGTGTGTAAAAGGAAACAACATACGTGGTACATTTTGTATAAGCCTAGGAAACCAGAAACATTCATGTGAGTAGAGCAAGAGGTGCCATGCTGCAATTGCCCCTGTCGTTTCACATGGTAGAAAGCAAGCAGGTTTTGTTGGATGGATGGTTTGCCAGGTCTCACGCAGGTTCACGTATGGATTGAGGGAATCTCAGCTCCTGGGCTAGTTCCTGGCGCTCAAAAAGTCCTAATGTGTAAAAAGAAAATTGTCCTTGCTATCTTTTCATGCTTCTCCCATTTGCATTTCTGTCCAGAAGCGAGTGAGACTGCATTTTTTCATCCACTGGATGTCAGTGTTACGCTACTGCTGTGGTGCATTGCCAGGTGCTGGGAGAACTTTGGCTGCTTTGGGATGAGGGATTCAGGAAGAGCTTTCTCCTGTGGTTGGTGTGCGACGCTAGGGAAGCACAGGGGAACAGGTTTGATAGAGTGTGGACATGCTGCTGCCTTTGGGATCCTACTCACAAGGCTCATAAAGAATAAAACCTCACGGTGACTGAGCCCTGAGGGAGACACGTGCTTCAGTACTGAGGTCAATTCCACCTTTGCTTCTTACACTGTGAAAATAAATACATTGCCTCATCTCTTTAAAAATCAAATTTACTCATTATACCAGGGACAAATAATGCTGCATCTAACAGAGTGGGGATAAAACACTACAAGCAGCTTTGAAATCTGGAGTTGGAAGTTAGGTTTTCTTAGACCTGACAGTGGTTTGTTATTTCCAACAGTGCTATAACCTCCCTTTTAGAAATTTGCTAGCTTTTTTAAATTAGTGTATCTGAACGAACTCTGGTTACAATCACCAGAAGCTGTTGGCCTTGAAAAACAGTTATTGCTGAGCCTGTCCTTTTCCTGCTTCAGATCATTTAACCTGCAGCTGTGTAGTGGGCATAGAAAGTACCTGAGTGGTTACTTGTGCTGCAAGTAGAGACAGGTTGCCTTTTAGGAAGCCGCAGTAAAGCATACGTTGGTGATCTTTACTGAGCATTATTTTTAGGTGTTTTGGTATGAAATGTGGCATTGCAAACATGATCTAATGCTGTGCTTTATCAACAACTGAATAGCAGTCAGCAATGGGAAAAAAAGATGGCTGTTGTTAAAATGATGATCTGTGGAAAAGTAATAAAAGAATTTATGTTTCTTGTTACATATGAAGACAGGCTGATTAGGTTATTCTCTTGCTTACTTCTTTCTATTGGTAGCTGCGTTTTGTCGTATCCTTTTCCTAGAAAGCTCAGGTGAAGATTCAGCAGGCACATGGCATCAAAGTATCAAAGGAAAAAAACATTAATATTTGGAAACACTGGGGTACTTTAAAAAAATACCCATTATCCTTATTTAAAAGTATTTATCCTAATTACTACTTTCAGAAAACACGTTTTCTAAGGATTCAGCGTTTCCTGTTCCATGAGCTGACTGGTGAGATTTCCCAACTATTCTTATGCATCCTTTTCATAGATTTCCAGGGAGAAAGCAAGAGACAGAGGAAGTAAGACTTCATGTGCCTGGGAGCTATAAAAATGGGGATAGGAAGAAAAGATTTATATTTAAAATAGAGAAGATTTTTTTCTTTCCTAGGTCTTCTATAACAGCAGAGAAGAAGCACAGATGAGCAACTTAAAGAAAAAACAGAGGTAATGAATATAATGAATACTAGAATTAAATGAAAGCAGGAGAAAATGAGGGAGATACATCAAATGTAATTTTTGAACTTGTAAGCTGGCCAGGTGATTAATGCTAACATTCCTGCTTTGCAAACCCTCCCCACCCAAAACAAAATCGTTAAAACCCCTAATATTCAAGGATCTGAGCTTTAAGTCTCAGGCATGTCTACATCCGTCACTGTACTCAACACAATAAGCTTATTTTGACACGACTTATTCTCGTGTGCCATAGCCATGAAAGACACGCAGTTGCGACAGTTTGAAGAACAGTTTATGAATGTCCGAAGTGAAATGCTTAGCAGAATTTTCAACTTGTGCTGCCATGCTCACATAATTCTGTTGAAAGGAAAAGGGGAAAAAAGAGAAGTTTGTCAGCCCACAGCTAAAGGGAAAATATTACCAATTTGATGGCAGCTGTTCTTAAACAGAGAACAGTTTATTACAGTATTTTGTTTTGTCTTTTTTTCCTGGAGGCAAAACTAAAACAATGCTTCGTTAGCGCTATTTGAAGCTATTTAAATATCGCAATTTCCAGCAAAACAATATTAACATGTGGAGTTTTTTAATAGAAAAAAAGCAATTAGGAAAATGTTTTGAATAATATTGTATTTCTTTACCCAGCCTTTTTTCTACCCACTTTTTTTTTTTTTTTCTTCTTCTTTTTTTTTCCTGCTATGCTGGCAGAGGAAGATGTCTGCTTCGTGCTTCCAGTTCTGAAAAGGAAGCAGTGTGCACATAAAAGTTATTGGCAGCTGTGTTGAGGCCAGAGGTCATGCAGCTCTTCAGGTAAGATTTTATTTACCTTTTCACCTCCCCGTTTCACCAACTTGGTCAGAGATGATACTCAACAGCAGCAGGAACTTATACACAACAGTTTGAGTCACCTTTAGCTGAACCTAAACATAAGTATGTGAAAGCAATTACAGCATTTTATTGTCACAGCTCCACCTTCATCATCAGGACAGCGTTAGAATTTTACATTGAGACATAGGGTAACAGCTAAAGGCGCTCTCTCCTTCCACTTTCCAAAGTTTAAGTGTACACTGGAGTTTCCACTGCTTCCAGGGCAGCCACACTTTTACATGCAGCACTCATTTGTGTACTTTTTTGTCACCCAGCCCCATTGCAATAGAATAATCAGGCTTGGGGGAAAAAAAAGAGGCTGGGACACAAACCTCCCATCCCCTCCATCCTCAGGAACTGTGAATATATATGTGCCCTTGCAAGCAGGGAATCAGGAAGCTGTGCATAACGGTTAATACCATACATGCAGGACTAATGCTGTTGCTGGAAAAGCTCCCACCTGTCTTGTCTATTTCAAACTCCTACTAAGATAACAGGAGTATGTCATTTTTTCCTCCCAATTACTACTTTTTTTTTTTCCTCCTGGGAGTTGTAGCCGTGTAGTAATTTAAGATGGCAGCTTTCCAAGGCTTTGCGGTGATTCTAATTAATTGGATACGTTGTTTAATTTTTATTTTAACTTGGGCTTTTTCCCTCATATTCAAAAGGTTTCCCATTATCCTTTATTATGAAGGAGATCAACGCAAGCAGAATGGCTGCCATTTTGCCTTTGTCTGCAGAAGCAACACTGTTGTGTGTTGAAAAGGTGCACTGCTGTCCACACCCGTCAGAAGGACTGAAAGCAGTACTCAGGTGGAGTAGCAGTGCGTCTTTGGTCTGGTGAGCTGGGCACAGACTGCAAGCAGCAGTGATACTCTGCAAGAAGAATGTGTGAGAAGACATGAGTGGAGTATGGCAAACAGGGTGAAGTCTAACTGCAGAATGGGGTAAAAGAGTTCAAACTGAAGGGCAGAAAATCTGGAGGTGGAAACATCTGTCTCCTTTGGTGGTGTGGAAAATCGTGCCTCCTTCAGGCAGACTGAGGAGAGAGAAGGAGAGAGAACCCACAAAAATTGCCATAATCAGGGAGTCAGAGCTACCGTTGGACTGCTTAAACTCTCCCTCATGTTGGATGGTGGTTTCACTATTGCTCCTTTCACAGGCTTCTTTTCGCCCACAACTTCTCTAAAGTGGTGTTTGATGGGGAAGCACAACGTCTGCATTTTTATTTTTAAAACAGTACGTAACAAAACTGCTTATTGCCACCTGCAGAGGAACCAGAGTCAATTACAGTAGAACCTGAGGACAGAAAGTGAGAATAATGCAGGAAGGGAGCACCATAAGAAAGAAAGCTAGAGGAGCAAAACAACTGCAAGACTGCACAACCTTAGGACTAGTAAAAAAAGATTAAGAAAGGAGTGCTAAAAAGTGGGAAGCTGCATGGAAGGTTTCTTGGATCCAGGGTTGCACACAGAAGGTGTATTTCATCTCTCCTGCACAGATATATGGGCACACGAGTGCACATGGCCTTTCCTGGCTCTCACCTTTCCTGGCCACAACCTCCTCCTTACTCTGCATCAGCTGCAGGGAGGCCCTAGCAAGGATCCCAAAGAAAGAGCTGGACAGAGAATGGGGGGTTGATGACAGTGGTGACAGCAGGAAGAGCTGCACAGGGAAATGGACCAGCAGCAGCCGTTTCCATGACTTGGCCTCCAGCGGCTTCTGGAACAGAGAACAGTGAAGCTGGGTGGGCCAGGCTGTTTGTTCTTTAATACTCAAATCTGACTGCTTACAAACCCTGTGACTCACTCACTGTCCCAGCTTGTCTTCTGCAATGGTTGGCAGCAAAGTTAAATCCAGGTTCACAAGCACAGCTTTGTGTCACCCCCTTGATGGAAGCCTGCCAGCAGCTTCCCTGTGGCTGAGCTGCTGCTGGGATCTTGGGATGGGGCTGCATGGGTAAAGCCCACAGGCTGACTCCTGAGAGCAATCACAGCACCTCTTGGTAGCAGACGATCTCTTCAAAGCCACCAATTAATCACACACAAGCAGAAATGGAGGAAGACTCAATTGCTCAGGGGCTAACATGCATTTGGCCCACTGGGCTATTTTCTTTTTGCACAGGAAAGGAATGATGATGAGGATTCTAGTGGATTTCATCATGCGCTGACAACCATTTGCCGAACAGCATGTTCTCCCCACACGTGAAAAAGCAAGCAAAAACCCCAGGACTTTCCTTTTAATCCTGCACTAAACCTCAGGACAACTAGAAGAAAGCCAGAAGTTTGTTGGGTTTTTCTTTCTTTCTTTCCTTCCCCTGAAGAGAGCAAGATGTTCTGTGGTTGCTGTTCTGGATTCACTGACTGTGCTAAAGAAAGCATGTTCCCTCTCAAGAGCCCTGAGCAGCTCAGTTCTACTGTTTGTTTCTGCTGCTTGAACCGCACTTGATTGCTGCTGCTGGCTTACTTCCTGTCACTTGAGAACCTTGCAGAGCTTAAACCAGCCCTGGCAGCAATTCTTCCTTACGGTCTTGCTTCCACAGGCTAACCATAGCACAGAGAACAATGAAAATACACATTAAAGCTACTCTTAACAAGGTGTTCCAGACCAGGGCTGTGTTCAAAAAGATGTTTGTGTTTATCAAGAGAGTCCAACTCCAAAATCCTTCTATTGCAGCCATTTCTTTTGAAGCAGAATTCAATGCAAAGACCCTACAGCGTTTTCAAGGGTTTCCTCACGTTAGCAACACTGCTGTGCACAAGTGAATTCCCAATTACTTATACCAAGCGCTGCTTACATGGGAGACTTTGAAACGAGATGGAGCCTGCCTGAAACAACATCCTCCTTTTGGCTGCAGGGTACAGCATCTGTGTCTGGCGCCTGTGCTTGTCTGTCTCTGTCTTTGTTCTTGTGAGTTTGTCTCCTTGGATGCAAAAGGGAAGCTGTTGGTCATACTGCGCTGTCAGGATCTCCAGCATTCATCCAGCATAACCCCAGTGGGTGCAGCGAAATTAATCCAGATTTGCTGAAGTATAACTTTGGTTCTGTAAGTTAATTAACATGTTTAAAAGCGGTTTGGAAATTGGTGAGAAACCAGTGGAGACCGCTTTAACTTTTCCTTCCAGAAAAGTTTTGATTTATTGAAATGCTGTAGTCATAAATACCAAACAAAGGAAGTGAATAGACTACAGTGTCTTCACTGTGAAAGGGCAATGGCAGATGCTTGGATAAACCAGGAAACAGGTCTTTATTTCAGCGCAATGCCTGCAAGGATTTCTATCTCTCAGACCTCTCCGAGAAGTTATTTTAACTACCTTTCTATGAGATTTATTAGGCTGTGAAGGAGAATTTCAAACAAATGGTAGAATAACAAAATCCTAGAAAGATACGCTGGTGAATTGTCTTGCATTGCACTTGGGCGATGACCCAGATGACCTAGCAGCCTTTTCCATTTCTAACATCCATGATTACCACAGTTATACCTGAGGACACTAAACAGAGCCATTTTCTTCCTTTCAGAAGCAGTAAAATGTCACTAATGGCCACGCTAAATCAGAAGAACTTATCCTTCTGCAGATGTGTTACACACTTAGCAAGACAGCTATAAATGATCCCACTTGGTTTATATTTGCTATTTTCCATTTCTGTAGTGCGAGTGCTCCGCTCAAGGGGCCTGCCAGCCAAGGGAAAGAATTTCTGGTAGGAGATTAAGGATAACTAAGGAAATGGTTGCATGACCTATAAAGAGAGGATCATAAATATTGCAACAATAAAACCAATAGCTCTTTCAAAGTTTAAATAGCTTTTCTTTTCAAACACTTGAAGTAAATGCCCTTTTCCCAAGGTTGTCTAGCATCTGTGCCCAGGGATTTTACTCAGTTTCACCAAATACATTGTAATTTCTCAGAGAGATAGCTATTCCTTTTAATCATTTTCGTTTGTGGAAGTGTCCTCTTCAGAGAAGCTGGAGCCCAATTACCTCAAAGTGCCTTATTACTTCCTCTACTACTGAAGTTTCAGAGAAGCCAGAGCACAATAGTAAAGTAGCCCCTGCATCTCTTAAGCACCGTGGTCACAAACAATGCAAGATGAGGCAAGTACGATTCTGTTCCTCATAAACAAGCAGCAGCACTTATATGTATGTTTTCTTACATCCAAGGAACCTCGGACACAAGGATCTGCCTGTGTAAGTATTCAAGTATACAATTCATTTTCTTCACAGTCCCAACTGTGCAAATAGCCGGACCTGGGCTGCTGTCACTCTGCATAGCAGAATACAGCTGACATTCCTATCCCACACACTCTGTCGGCATGCAACACGTAGCTTTTGTTTTCATGGTATGGGATCCAGCTCTAGAGTAAGCAATCTGTTTTCATGTGTTAATTTTTTCCCCCATACTCCATCTTACATCATTGTGTAGCTAATGCAGGGGAAGCTCAAACTGATGTGTTCCACCAGCTATGTCAGAGCAATAGATGCACATCTTGCTGAAGCATTCCTATTCCTTTGTCACCCCATCTTGCCATATTTATTTAATCTACATCTCAGGCTCTGGTTTGGGAGTACTGTTTTGGATACAATAAATAGGCACTACGCCTGCCATAGGCAGAGGCTAGAGAGCCTTGATATTAGTGCTCAATCCTGTGTATTGGTCAGATTGCAGAAAGCAATGTTCTTTCTGTAACAGCCACTCCAGATTGGTAAATCAAAAAGCTGAAGAAACGTGGTGTTTATTCAGCCCACAGTGGGCATGTGCCAAATCCACCCCCAAACTCATACAAAATGCTGATCTGGCCACAGCCCACTGGCACAACGTACTTTTTTCACTTGCACAATTGAAATAAAATTCACTATTCAGCAGAAGCTTTTTTTTTTTTTTTTTTTCTTCAAAGAAATCAAAAAGGCAAAAGACCCTTGAATACAGACAGTACTTAGAAAGTATCCTTGACCTGACTTCCCTGTTGCTTGCCTATGATACCATATGTATTTGCATTAAAATAAGCTCTCATTTTTATATTCTATGTTTCAGGCCCTCTGTAAGGGCTACGTTCCTCGTTATTCATGTTTTCGTTTGGTGCTATGCTCCATCAGCTTTCCTGCACAAATTCCACACATAACCAGGAAAATACAAGCAACGATTTCACACATCCTCTGTCATTAAGTCTTGTCCTTCAGCGCACCCCATCACCTGGAAGTTGCCTGTCTCAGGTAAAAAGCAAGAGAAGAGCTGTTTCATGCTCACAGTTCTCCTAGAAGGTGACATATCTAATATTTTAGAAAAAGAAAACAAAACCTGACAAGGCAGATGAAAAGGCAGGAGCTGGTATTGCAGCTAGGCAGACTGAAAATGGAGAGAGAAACAGAGTTAGGAACATCTCAAAAACTTTTGACATTGGCAGATCACATTAGGAATTTAGGACACACCAGCAATTCTGCCCTAAGTTCCTATGCAGATGCATCTCAGCTATTCCTCCTTACTCTTCCTTACTCTTCCTCATGTTGTGTTGAAAAGCATGGCAAGTTTGTCCACGTTGTGAGTGAGACTGGAGAAGCTGAAACATTACATATTAAGGTGTGGTTTTCTACATCCTCGCTCCCCAGGTATACACGTCCAGACTTGCAGCAGAAATCAATAAGTGTTGTGACAAGAGTTAGGTAAACATCTGTCACTTCTGCTACATGCTACATCCGTAGGTTTCTCTTCTGAGAGGGTTTCTACTGTTGCTTGTGCTTTTCATAAGCTTTTCTTGTTTACGAGGATTCCCAAATCTGCAAATTTCCCAAATTTCCCCCAAGGACAGGGGACACAAGGTCTAGGTGACACAAAGAGGGCGCTAATTCCTGAACTGTACCCTGATTTTGAAAGAGCATGAGCGAAAGAGTCAGGAAACAAGAAAGAAGTAAATAATAAATAGTAATATTAAAGATGAAGTACATTTATCTTCGTTTCTTGGGAAACCTCCATAAGGTAAAGGAAAAGACACAAAGTGATGGTATTGTTAATACTGGAGCCCTGACATAACCTGTGAAATGAGCTTGGATTTAGACAGATTCTTCTTAAACAGTAAGGATGCAATTGCTACATGGACTTTAAACACAGGAAGAAAGAAAAAGATTATGTTTTCTATAAACACATTTTCATGTACCATAATGCCCAGTAGTAAAATAAGAGACTGGATTTATTCTGAAACATGGTCAGGAGTTTTAAAATGCTTTTGTACACCCAAACAAAGGGAGCGTGGGAAACAAGCTGTGGAGTTACTTAAATGTCAAGGATTGTACTGTACCAGGTAAACCTGAAATGTAGCAGAGGGATTCTGTTTCATAAGTGAAATGTCATTACTGATGGGTACAAATTATACAGGAAAGACGGAAAGGAAAACAGAGGTAGTACTTCATCATATGCATTTACAGCTGCAGCAAGACATAGTTCAGCTGCAAAGAGAGTGGTAATGAAAAATAACACCAAAGAGAAATTGAAGTGGACATCTGCTCCAGCCTGCTCCAGTGATGTAGAGCCTCTCTCAAAGCAGTACCAGAGGACAGTGTACTTGTGTGGGCAGCTGAATTCCCCACATCTGTTAAGAAACACAGCATTGGCCAAAGATGTTCATGTGTTACATGAAAACCTTCTCTAATCTAGAAAGTACAGGTTCTTCAGAAACAAATAAAAAAATCGCAACAATCTAGGAAGTGCAGTTGAGAAGTTAAAAATAACACCAATGAATGAATTACCTGAACGTAACACAGCAAAGAGTTTATTTGTTTCACTTAGAAAATATCTTTGGCATAAAGTCACTGGACACATGTACGTTAAGTATACAAGTGCATCCCAAAGGAAGCATAGAAGGTATGCATTCAGCCATGATGCTCTTTCAGAACCACTCTCCATTTCACATCAGAAATAGCGAGCTGCAAGCCCCAGTTTCATTACTCTTTTTCCAAAACCAAGACTGGCCAGTGTAGTCCCATGGTACACCACATGGTCAGCAAACCTGGGCTGAATGACCAACAGTGAACAAGATCCAGAGAACAGACAACCTCTTGGGATTGTCCAGGCTCAGGAAACAGACTCCAAAGAGAGCTGACCTTGTTCTTCCCAATAGCAACAATCAAGTATCTTCCGTCTTTCCCACTCCCTTGGAAGGCTAATGACGTGGTTATGTTTGTTCCAAGAGCTGGCTTCTTGTGCTAGGACAAAATGACATCTTATTTGAAGACTATAGGCACTGCTATAGGCACTGCTACACCATCTGCTTCCATTAAGAGACTTCTAAGAGAACTGACGACCACTGCTTCTCACCTCTCTGCCCGTAGCACCATCAACATTTTATGTGGAAAGTGACAGAGGTCCATTTTACAGGTAGGATCCTAGTACTTAGGAAGAACCACAATTAGCAAAATAAATGTAGTCACCTCACCAGCACTCAGACCTGTTGCCATAGAAGCAGCCGAATGTCCAAGTTCAGCTGATCTTGTCTGCAGGGAAGAACAAGTTCCACCAGAGTCTGAAACATCCACTCTGGATCAGCAAGGTTGCGTGCATCCCTTAAGAGTCACGCTGAGTTTAAGAAGCAGATTCACATCATGCAAGAAAGCAAGTTTGCTCTCTTCAATTCAGTAGATTAATAATGTGTAATAAGCCTGAGGAATTCTACTAGACTCTGGAGTCAAGGCATGAGATTAGACTTCTATGACTTTCGAACAATAAAAGTAGAGAAGGGAATTAAAAACGAATGAGCAAACACTACAGTTTAGAAACTGGTGTGGCATCAAAACATAAGACAAATTGATGAGAGATTCTCACTAGAAAGGAGATCCTGTTAGTTGACAAGGCTAAAGAAAGTGCTTTCGCATCTGCCATAGGAAAAAGAAAGTAAAGCGTGTTAATCAGCAAGCATAGAATAGAAGAAATAGTGAAATCAGCTTCTCGGGTGATTTAAGTTACTCCACCCAAGATGAAGCAACAAAGAAAAAAGCCTAAAGAGGCAGAGGACTTCCTGGAAAACCTGACCAGATATATTAACACAGTACTAATTAGTAAATTAGCCTATTGCACAATTTAAAAAATAAATAAATATCTTAAAAGTCCGGGAGAACAAGGAAGTACCAGGTGACAACATTCCTATCAGAACAAAGAACTGGAACCACATTGGCTTTATAAATTTCTCTTGAATCTCTGCTAACAAAGTGAAATAAATACCAGGAGAGAGAAAAAAAAAGGTTCCAATCATTTGGAGAATAATGGAAGCATGGCAAAATCAAGCCATTTTAGATAGTACATACATATATATAGCAAATAGCTTTTGGCACATAAACGCTGCACCGCAGCCAACAGGATATCTCATGTATTAACTTACTTCTGTGTCCAAGTGATGGTGTAATTTCCAACACCTCTTCTCTTCCATTACCAGGAACAATTTTATAAAACACTGCTGATAATAGGAGATGACAGACCTAGCAGTAAAACTACAGCCTGTTCCCAGAAGGCTATATAGAATAACTATATAGAGTCACAAGCATTTAACCCACTGAGTGAAAGTGTATTTAACAGAGAGCATAATACCTTTGGTATTTTAGGGTCTCAAGATATTCTACAGGTTAAAACCAGAGTAAAACAAACCTTGTTGCTGTTCAAGTTAAATTCACTTCCAGGAAAGGCAGTTAATCAGTCAATCAATCCATTGCATTTCATCATCAACTACAGGCAGCTGTTTTAATGTAAGAATCAACATTGCAGTCCAGCACGTGGAAGAGCCTTTAGAGCAGCTTGTTCTGTGCTCGTAGTGCAGCAGTTGTCGTTGTTGTGCACTGAGATAAACTCAACAGTGTTTCAACACAAAAAAAACCTAAACCCATTGCTTCAGATGTCTGTATAGCTTTCTGGCAAACAAGTATGTTACCTTTCCGTTGTCTACTATGATTAGGATTTATTTTTCTTAGATATCACAAGAGGGCTTATTTATGACTGGAGAGTGTATAATTTAGATGGCAAGAAAGCAGAGTGAAACATCAATCTGCATACTGAGGAAACAAAAACAACCTGCTTCTCCACTTTGTTAGTGGCAGAACTGGAAAAGAGCCAGCGAACCTGAGGGCAGTGGTGTCGAGCACATCCCCAGTAATGAATAGCTTCACATACCGTGAACCTGGAGCTTGGAAAATGATCGCTGAGGACATGTATGATACAGGTCTGTAAAAAGTGGCAAGGAGATGAGGAATAGGAGTGGTCATTACTACATCTGACAGTGGAATAATTAGGGTCACCCGATGAAATCATCAAGTAAACCATTAAAATTGCCTGAAGACTGTTCTTTTTAATACTGCACAATGAACTCAGGGTCCACTGCCACAGAACACTGTGGAGGCCAAATGTATAAAAGGATTTTAAAAAAAGGACTAAGTGCATTCATTAAGGCCAGGTCCAGAAGGAACTGCCAGTTCAGAAAGTCCACAGACTGCTGGAACAGTGTCAGAGAAAGACTTTTGTACCCAAGCTTTATTTTTTACGCTTCTGTGATCACCTGTTACTTGGTGCCCTAGAGAGAGGATAGCAGATTAGATGGCCTTTGGCCTGATTGCATGCAGCGTCTCTTATGGATCAAAGCCCATGATTTAGGCATTTTTTAGAGCTTGGAAATGTTAACCTGAGGGGAAAAAAAGAAAAAGAAGGGAGCATTTGAAAAGCTCGTCTGCCTGCTTTGCTTCTTTTCAGCCTCAGAGATGTGCTCCTTAATCATACAGTTTCCATGAAGGGTAAAGTACCGCTCACTTAGCAACAAACAGGATTTTATAGCAGCCATCGAAAGCTGTGTGACTGCTCCCAGATCTGCCCACTCTCCCATGTAAGGCATTTCTCTGACCCAGTCTCAGCTGAAGGTTAAACACTCCCCTAATACTCCAGTGCTTCTTTTTAACAGATTACTGCCAAATCGCTTTGTTTGACTACGACATTTACGACACGAAATAAACAGTTAAGATACTAATCCATTGGCCTCTTCTGGCTAAACCCTTCTCCCCCAACCACTAGTTTCTGTGTGGATAAGTGACAATAAGAATCTACAGGAAGACTCCTTGAGGACAAAGCATTGCTATGCTGTCTGTAAACATCACTGTTTCACCCAGAATTTGCCACTGATTGGACTCTGACTTCCAGCCGATCGGGCCAATACATTTCTGCAATGCAGCCGAGTAAACAATGCAACACAGTGATTCTGAGTCTGTAACTAAACAGACTGAAGTAGCAGCATAAGTAAGTCTGAAAATCTGCATTTACCTGGACACAGAGCAAGCTCTGAGACCAGTCATCACAGTTGTTTTTATGTATAAAATCTATATGCACACACACGTATGGACTAATACATTCATCATTAACCCTCATTTAAGGGACAGACCATCCAAAGTCTATGCTTCACCCAGTAAATAAGATTTAACTGGGGGTGCCAGCTGCATCCAGGATCACACAGTGGCTTGACAGACCACTGTGTAAGGACAAATCGATAAACATGTTACTAAGCCAGCTTGTTCAGTCTTCAGTTTCCCATGCAATCAAGATAACACACAGGTAGATTGTTTGCTTTTATCGCTTGCAGTGGAGTTTGGACCCAGGTTACCTGGAATGAAAAGAAGACCAAAAAATGTTACTATTAAGTAAATAAGATCCAGATGAAGTTTGGACTCAAGCTTTAATACTTGTTATTTATGATACGCCTCGTGTTAGACCAACATCACTCCACATTCTCTTGAGGTATTATTTCCTCATTCTGTGAAATGAAGACATACTAAAATAATAGCAAATACTACTTGCTATAAGCCACTGGAGAAGTAATTCCAGGCTTTGGCCTGTACCCAGGCTAATGTCAGTGGAATTCTCAGATCCCAGATGGTGCCGTAAAGCAGTCTGGCCATGACTTGAGTGGAAGGCTTTCCAAGCAGTAAAGGATGAAAACAAAAAAGAAAGGTCAGGTCATCTCATCCATCAGATCCCAACACACATTCTCACTGAGCTTTTCCCATGTTCAGTATTAAACATCTCAAGTGGTGATATTTCCACCATTTCCTTTGCAAGAGAAATCCAGAGACCTCAGGGTCCTTCAGTTAAGCAGCATATAACGCTGCCCAAATTTTTATCTTCTTAAGGTTTATTCCATTGCTCACTCTACATATTTTCTTCTTCTCCAAATATCTGTACTTTTTAACACTTGCACTTCATTGCAGCCAGATTCTGAACCGGATGCCTCAGCAGACTTTTTTCAAGCGCTGCACTTAAGCATGTTTGCATAAGCTCTTGCAAGTAAGTGAGCTCTGCTGCACTCAGGGCTCAGCTAGGCTCACACAACATATATCACATATACTCTGAGGCTGTATGTACTGAGGGGGGCAGCTGCATGGCTTGCAGCCACTCTGAACAAGGGCAGACCCCACTTACTTATTTCTACAGAGGGAAGGGATATGTACATCTCTCGTGCAGTTGGAGCCAATGATCAGTACAGGAAAACTGCCTGACGTTACTGAGAAGTCTCAACCACAAGCACTGCCCTTGAACTGGGCTTCAAGTGAATTATTTTCATAAAATCATGGAATCATTAAGGTTAGAAAATATCTCTGAGTTCATGTTGTCCAGCCATCCATGTCACTCTTTTGCTTGTGGGTATTTGACCAACATTTTCCTCACTTGTACGTAATGGTAAAGAGAAGACCTCCCTCTCCCCTTCTGCACTGCAATTTCTGCATATCCATGTGAGAGGCTGCACTGCAGCCTGCTCTCCCTTTTTTGGTTTTTCTATATGCTACAGCCTCCTTCCCACAACAACACGTGGCATTTCATACTAACTGTTGTACCCCTTAGACCCATTCTGTACGTTACTACTAATCTTACCATTGCCCCTATCTCCTTGCCACCCCCATTCCCCTTCCTGTCTGTATCATGTTCAAGACCTTCACATTTACCTTCAAAAGCATCAATGCTCCTTCTCAGCTCAGTCTCAGCTCCCAGCTCCTTTATTCTTCTCACTCTTCCTACTCTTGTCTTCTGGCCTTTTCTACAGATCCTGCTACAGTTGGAGCAAACACAGTCCTTGTATGTACCCAACATCATTTCCCTCTCTCTCTTTACAACAGGAGCTAAAATGTCCGGTTACCACCAGTCTATGATCCCACTTGGGCTGAAAAGCACTGGTGATAACTAAACTGCTTTTTCTGCCCACCTAGACTGCTACTTGCAGGGAAGAAACAAAACAAAAAGCCAGTGCCTTCCAAAGGCACACTGCTTTGAAACCCTTGCAGTATTTCCAAGAAACTGCACACAGTCTTTGCTGATCACAGCCTGCCCAGCAGCAGCATAAAATTAACAAATTCTGGTCAGGTTCAGAGCTGTTGTTGTTGTGCTTCGAAGCAGGCAATAGTGAAATTCAAGAATTGTGTTGATTTGATGGTGTGGTTTAAGCAAACCTTGTAAGACAAAACAAAATCTCCCTGCACTGTGGTAGAACAACACCCCAGGAAGTTAATTAAAGCATGTAATTCAGAACATTACTGTCTGTATTTTCCTTGTGTTTTCCCTTCTTTTGCCCTTATGTTTTCCAGGCTCCCCATTCTAACTTGTAGTTATCATTTTCTAGCATGTAAATACCCTGCCAGATTTTCAGAGACTGTTCAAAGTAGTTTCACCCCACCCCAGCTTGTACTCTTTTCAACACCATTTGCTCTTACAAGACTGAACTGGACATTCAGTCTGCTTGAATAATGTCTTACTCTGAGCTTACTCTGCAAGCTACTTGGGTGTAGATCTGGTCTTTTGGTGCATTTGCAAGGTGTGATGTGTCTCTGTGGTACAACAGAATCACAGAATTAATGGTGACTTTGGAGGATGTGTGCATAGGCAGGCCCAAAGGGCTTAAGTGTGCTGTTTAATCTTCACAAAAGGTAGGGGTAACTATTTCAAACTGTGAAGCTTTGAATAATTGCATCCTAACCTGACTGTGTATCTAGCACCATCTCCCTCCTTCATTTCCACTTCTTTCCTCCCTTCTGTCACTCAGGGTATTGCAGCATCAGTTCTGACTAGGTCTGCTCAAGGACAACTTCAGGTTTTAAAACATTACTGGTCATACAGTTTCCTCAGAACAAAAGGTTTCCTGTTTTTATCTTTAAGATGGAACTTTATTCCATATCCATGTTCAGGATGCTATTAAATCCTAATGAAGCACATGCTGCTAATCAAGTAGCTGCAGTATCTTCAGTGGTAACTCAATTTTTCCTTCCTTTCTCCTGAGTCTCATCTCTCTAATGTGCCCTCTGCCATCTCCGTTCACTTTGGAACCACCGGGCTAGTGAAGCTTTCTTTCCCAAGTAGTGAGTCAAATGTAACACAGAGTGATCTTCCCTCAGCCATTTACATGGGATGACCTAAGCCTACTTTCACCACACTTCAAAAGCTGTGGAGTCTCCCAGTGTCACTGGAGCAGGAAATCTCATTTAGCATAAAGCAAAGCAGGAAACATTTGCATTGACTTCTTGGAAAGACTTGTCAGGAAGAACACAGCAGGAAGGTAGGAGAATGGAACCTCTGCTGCTTCCCTGTATTTTCAAAGTGGCTTGCCTGGAACCAGCCTAGGTCTCCCAAGGTCAGTGTTTTACGTTCTCCTTTATTGCCAGCTCTCAGGAAGTTGCAGTGACAATTAATAAAACCTGAATATAATAGCATGATTTTGTCCTTATGGAAATAATCCAGACCAAGCTGGCATAGATTCACTCTGTTAAAAAGGAGACGTCCCTGCTGCCCTGACCTGTGCAATGCCCAGAAGGGCTCAGCACCCCAGTGTCCAACTAGAGAGATCAGTCTCTCTCTTGCCTTAATATGTACATAATTTTGCCACGTTGCCATATGGTGGGAATGGAGGGCTGTCTGCTCTAAAGCAGTCGACAACAAGAAACTTGGGGAAAGTCTGATATTAAGAAGAGCTGACGAATCAGAACTTCCACAATTCTCCATTTCTGTCACTAGAGGGTAGTGCAAGTCCTCAGCTCCGATCCTCTGAAAAGAAATGCCCATACATCTCCCTATAGGTCTACGAATTTTCTTTTTCCTGGTCTCGAGGAATGGGGCCCAGCAGCACACGCTGTCTTGCTCATAAAATAAAGTGATGTGATGAGAGGGTAAAGACCAAGGTTTACTTTTGCCTCCCCAAATGCCAAACACATCCCAAAATGGGTCTACTATAATCTCAAATAATCAATTTATGCCTTCTTATATTTTTCCTCTCTTGTGTTCATTTGGCATTTTTGAGTCTGTCCTTATTTAGCCAGAAATACTTCTAAGAATTCAATCAATCAAAACCTGGAACCTTTCTAGTACTTTGCTTTCCTTTTTGCTCTCCAGGGAATATCTTTCCACATCACATCATGGCAGACTTAAGGGAATTCATGTTTTTACTCCCACATTTTGAATTTATCAGAGCACAGCATGGCCAGACAAGTTGGGAAGAAATGTTCCTCCCTTAACTAGTTCATTTTCCTGCTATTGCAAGATGAAATGACATCCAGCACACCTCAATGGGAGAGAAAGACAACCAGGCTTAGTCCTTAGTTTTACTTCAAACTGACAAAGCACCTGGAATGTTGAGATGTTAGCAATGAACACATAAATTAGGAGAAATTGTTATCATTTGTTTATTCAACCAAATGAAGACTTGGAAGAGCTCAGCAAATATATCAACAGCTCCTTAGCAAAGAAGGGAAGGTTCAGATCTAGCGCTTCTCCATAGCTCCTATTTTCATGACCCTCTTTTCCATTTCAAAGATAAGGGAGCAAGTTTTAAAAACTTCCATCTTCTCACTTTCTGCTCTCTTACCTCAGCAGAAACTTGTTTCCTTCCTCACCAGAAGCCCTGGCACTGTAAACACACTTGACAAAAGCCAAATTATGTTGGGGGGGTTACACTGGAAGTCTGTCTGCACACTAACCACTACAACACCAAGCACATTGTTGCTGCTTAACTGTACATGCAACCAGGTTTTCACAAGGAGACATTCATCTTTCTATCCCACAGCTGCTCAGTGGGAAGCATCAGAAAGCATATACATGAGAAGTAGCAATATTACAGTAAGAATGCCATTAAATTGCCTTTGGAATTATGCTTAGTTTGATGCAACTTCTGCTCTTCTTTGATCCTGCTCATGTTAGTACAGAGGAAATAACAGGATCTACTCAGGAGCCTGTGTTGAATACATCTGCACCAATCAACCAAACTCAGAGGCAGCTTAAAACCACAGAAGCAGAACGTGCTAATAGGAGAGGTTTTACCTGAGATGCCTTCAGCGCTCCGAACGCTGGCATGGCTTGTGCTGAGCTGCTCATATTCCAGTTTCATATTCCCGAGGTCTTCCCCTGAGTGTCCTTCACTGGCAAAAGAATTTGCTTCAATGCTTGAATCTGGAGATCGTTTGGCCTTGCGACCAAAAATCCCACTGGCAAACCGCTTGCCTTGCTTTGAGTTGGCCTGTGCATCTTCTTTCTTCACATCACGAATGGACTCTCTGGACTTGGATCTGTTTTTCAGGTCCATGTGGAACCGGGACAACAGTTTCTGAGGGCTCCGATTCTGCCTGCTGAAGTTCTCCAGAGGTGGTTCAATCTCTGGGAGTTCTTGCTCTAATGTGATTAAGTCATTCAGAAACTGATTTAATCGTTTCTTAGACTCGCTTGTTTCTTCCCTTTCCATATTATCCTGATTATCCTCCCTGTGTCGTGAAGCCCAGAGCAACATATCACCACGAGTTGCCCCTGCCACTAAGCCATACTTGGGATTAATGATCTTCCGAGCCACGGTGGAGGAATGAAAGCCTGATTTCCCAATTCCATGATGGTTTGGATTAGCAATACCCAATTCCTTGCAGAAATTTACTTCCTCTGAGATAGCGTAGAGCTCACGAAACTCAATGTCAAACATCTCCACATGCTGTCCTGTCAAGACTAGTAGGATGTTTCTGTCAATATGGGATGAACTCCATGTGAAGCTAAGAATAGGAAACAGAACCGTAAGATTCTTGCATATTTGACCCAGCCCACCCAACAATATGTGAAGCACCGTGAGAATACATAGCATTGTGCTATTTGCCAATATGGGTCAGGATAGATAGGTGGAGTATTATTGTTCTTCATTAGGCATGCAAACAAGATCTGGAAGAAAATACCTGAAAACTGGTACTTTTTAACAGCATATCCTCCTTTTAGAAAAGCAACTGCAAGAGTCTCCAGATTGGAGACCTCTCTGAAAAGAACTGAGTACAGTGGCCCATGCAGTGTAGCACCATCTCTAGCACAATGAAAAAATCCACTGTCAGGGACTTGCTCCTGGGAGCAGTTTGTGCTCTACGCTACCTTCTCTCTTATCTTACTCCAATTTCTACAGATGCCAAACAGATTACAAAGAGGAGGATAAAAAAATGATCGACATGAGAACAAGACACACACGCCATTATGTATATAAGAATGTAGCTCTGCCTTATGCAAGAGCAACCCACCTGTATGATCCAGTGGCCACCTTTTCACCATCTACCATCAAGAATCGAGATGCCAGTGTACCTCTGATCTTCCCTGTTTTCATGTAGAACCCAACTCCTGTCACAGAACGGATGCGGATGTTCTAACCAGGAAGTAAAGAAAAACAAAATTTCACAATAAATAGGGCAGAGAATTAGATAATTGCCAACTCCAAGTCTTAACACATCACTCACATTATCTCATAACTTCTGGGACTACAGCTCATCATTAGACACCAGAAATCAGAAGGGCTACAGAAAGGAAAGCAGTGTTGAGAAGTCTGTTGTTGTCATCTTTCAGTACAACTTACTCCTATGCATCAGTTTATAATCCTGTCCAGTAAGTCAGCATCTCTGTAACCGTCTGCTGTCTTCAGCTATTCATCTTAGCCCACTGACAAGACAATGCTTTCCAAATGAGATAATCCACCATCTCTAGTCCTGTGCTGTACATCAGAAGGCCCAGCCCAGTTCAGGGAAATGAAGCTCTGAGTCACATCTGTAGTCTCCGAATCCCAATCCCCATTCCATAGCATCAGTGAGGTCTTCTCCAGACAATGTTAGCAGAATCACAAAACCAAGGAACTTTGCAATGCCTATGCAATCAAAAAGACTCAGAATGTATGAGGCTTAAATTAGGTTATTTTAGGCTTGTGTTCTGATCCCAACAACATATAGTTTGATAGAACTGGGCAAATTATAGGACTAGGCTATTTAATTATTACAGAAGGGGTGAGGAAACAGTTGTACCATTCAAAACATATATAGATGTTTCCTGCCTGTTACAACAAAGGAACCCTGACATCATTTTGCTAAGAACACCAGTTACAATGTCTACCTACATTCATCTCTGTTCAATGGAGAGTGAAAAACACAGAATTTTATTCTGAATAAAAGATGTAGGATAAGTGTCCCAAACAAATCAGCAAAGTATCTCTGCAGATAGGGAAGGCAAAACTTCTCATGAAAAATACTGAAGTAGTTGGAAGAAGGTATTATCTCTCCTCAAACCTCCTGTCTCACACCCTTTTAGCCACTGAATCTACAAATTATAACACAAAGCAGTACAAGAGACAGAGGAAAAAAAAACCTGATTTCAGGTTACCTGATTTTCTACAATAGACATGCATACACATAGTATAAAAACATATTTGCATGTTAGACTGTGAGCTATTCTGCACAGACCAATGCTGAAGTCCATGGGTCCTGGCTGCTCGAGGATGAATTGCCAGACAGGTGTACATACATATTGCCTAACATTAAAAAAACAATAAAAAAAAAATAAAAACCCCAATGGTTAAAAGCACTCGTTGCCAGCAAAGTTTGGAGCAAATTATCTTGTCACTCTGACATACAAATTTAGACCATTTTCTTCATACCATCTGTTTCTCTTAAGAATTCTTTAACAATGAAAAGCTAAAAGGTATTGTGATCTGGAGTAATAAATATAGGGTTAGGAGTCAGACAGTCTCGTGTAATCACAGTTCTGGCAGTATTCCCTGCTATGTTCTGTGAAAGCCAATTCACCTTTGCGTCATTCTTCCCCCATCTGCAGAACAGGAGAATCATGAAGATTTGGCTAACACTAGCACAGCCTCAGATCCCACAAAGAGCTAAGTACTATTACTGTGAACCTAATTGACAGCTTAAATATCAATAGGCTGTAAAAATCAGCATGCAGGAATGAGTGATTAGAAGAATGTGGATTTTTGTCAAAAAAACAGTTTTCTGAATATAACTCTTACCTTTTGAATCGGCTCCTATTTGCTTCAGTAAAATACAGTGGTGGCAGTACAAATTCTGACTAACAGTAACTGATGATACTACTGTTTTGCATTCATCTACTGCTTGATCTGTCTGCAGTCCTGTGTGGGCATTAGCTAATTAATCCTCCCAACACCAACGACAGTATTATCGCCCTGTTTTAAAGACAAGAAACTTGAGAGACAAAAAAGATGAAGTGACTTGCCCAAGGCCTAGCTAGCAGTGAGTCATTTGTGTGGGATGCTGAATGCAGGTTGGGTAGAGCACAAGAGAAAGGCTGCCCTTTCCAGTATTTAGAATAACATTTGTAGACTGACTGGTCGACTAAAAATAATTGTCTTTTTTCCTTGCTGAATAAAGCTGGATTTGGAATTTGCCACATCATGGAATCTTGACTGGAGGTGTCAATGAGGACATCTGTCCTTCGAATCAGCTGACAGCTCTGAAATGTCTTATTCCTTTCTGAATTGAGTAGTACCAGCCTGTGTAAGCAGACTGCTTCTTAGCATGAAACAAGTGTGGATTTTATTGTGTTTGTATGTTATATCACCTTCTTTAGAAAGAGAGAAAGCACATTCAAATTTTTGCAGTAACTGAGCTACGTTTAACACTGAAAAAGGGGATAGAACCAAACAGCTGAACACATAAACCTCCTCGAACAAAGTAGGCACAGGAGTGTATAAATGCATCTTGAAATGCAGAAAACAAGCACTAAGTCATATAAAACACCGAGTCACTTAATAGGTTATTTGTATAATGTTTCCTACTTGAAGGATCTTGGAGCACTTGAAGACTAATATATCGACTGTACAGAGAAAGAACAAGCCTGGATTCACATACTGAAGATTACACAACAGAAGTGGAAAGACAAATATAAATGAGGTGAGATTTCAGCCATTTTCTTTGGGCACTAACATTATTGTATGAACAAGTATTTGGGGTAAAGGATCAGTTCGTTTCCAGGCAGAAGAGACCTTTACAAACCTGTACTCTTGCAGCTACTTGCTTAAGTTTGGTTATATCCTGCCTCATGTAGGCAGCAGTCTTTGTTAGGTTTCCACATTTCCTTTACACAGACTTACACCACTCCTCATTGCAAGCAGTGACTAACAACTCTCTGGCAGCAACTTAATACAGACTGGTAACACACCAGCCTAATTAATTCACACAGTAAAGGAATCAGTCTTTCTTGATTTATTGTGACACATTTTTAAACCTTGTGCTGCATCCACACAAAGTTAAATTAGACTCAACTGAGAAAGTCAGTAGTACACTGTTACTGACACGTAGTTGACCACTAGCAGATCCAAGCAGGAGTGCCCACAAGCACGGGGTTGGATATCATGAGGTACGTGGGATGGACTCTAAAGGTGGGTGCTGCAAGTATTTTCACCAGGGAATCCTCTATGTCCCTTTGCTCTTAGAACTTCTAGCAATTGATATAAATGTTGCAAAGGAAGCAGAAACCTGTGTTTCCTTTGGGATGAATGGCAAGAAAGATTTAAATCAGATAAAGGACAGGCAACAGACCATAGCAGTAGATGTTACGTGACAGTAGCTCGAAAGTCCCTTATACTGACTGAGGGTTTTTTTGTGTCTTTCTAAAAAGAGACACCTGTAAATTACTGTTTTTGAAAGGTCACGAGCAGTCTAGTAAAATTTTCTAACAGATAATTAAAACAAAACAGCACTGCAACACATCACGTTCAGCTTCTCCATTGAGTTAGAATTGAATGAGGAAATCCGGAAGGTAAGACAAGAAAAACTGAAACAAAATTGAAAAAAATCTTTTAGGCAGAAGCCTTTAAGACTACCTAGAGAGAGGAAAAGAAATCTTTGCATGTTAGGAACATGAATGTAAAAATTAATATCAAAGCGAACTTCCTGCAGATACCACATTCTCTGCATTTCCTCAGAGCTCTAGGTGAACTCCATGTCTTTAATCAAAACTGTTTTTCATTGAAGACTTGAATAGCAGAAGCACAGGGAAGAAAACACCTCTAAAAACTACTGACAACCCTCACCTTCAGGTCAACAAGAGGACATTTTGTGGGGCTATGAATTTTGTATCTATGAGAACTTTGATTCATTCTGATCTCAAAAGAACACCCTTATGTCAAACATAACAAAAGTCTGGCAAACCACGTCCTGCAGGCTCAAGAAGCCACATGACTCATACAAATAAGACATGCTCACATTAACATCTCAGGATGAATGCACAGATGATTGAAGTTAAATGCATTTTTAACGAACTCTGGCCTTCATGCAAAATATGAGATTTTCTCATTTCAAATGTGAAGTCAGTGAATAGTCTTTGTAGAGTGTGATACAGTCTTCCTACAGCATTTTCCTTGCTGTGAGACTGTGGGAGGATGGTGATACCTTGCCATCTTAAAAAAATAGTCAAGAATTTTGTGAAAATGCCCTGCATTACATGTAGACAAAGGGCAAAATCCAGTGTTAGCAGTAAGCCTCCCTGTACTGGGAACTGTTAACTGTTCACTCTGCATCGGGTGAAGGGATCAATGGAGGACAAGAACAAGAATCACAGCAGTCTGAGCATCTGGTGATGACAGAAGTCAGAATAAGCACCCTGAAGCTGCAGCAATGCCAACCGATAGTGATGTGTCATCTCTTTTTTTCCTCACATGAGAATCTGACATTAAACCTTAAAGTTATCTCCCACATTGCTGCAACTTTCTGTGGAAAAGCCAGCACTAAAAATGCAAAACAACCCCAGACACGTTAGCTCAGTGAGATGGGGTAAGTCCTCAAGTGAGAGATTACAACTTGCTTGACATTCCTTAGTTATCCAAAACTTGGTGTCAAATTATGATGATTTCTCACCCAAACAGCAGCACTGATACATCCAATAAAGCCTTGCAGGAAAGCACGACCAACAAGCTGCTGCTCATCTTCTTGACCCTTATAGTCACACTGGCAATGGGAACTTGGGCAGGATGGTAAGAAGCCATTATTCTTGAGAAACAAGTGACCTGCTTTTCCTTACAGAAAGGCTCTTCCCAGTCTTTCCATACCACCATAGAACGGAATAAACTGCACTGACCTTAACAAAATTAACTAAAGCCTCCTTAGCTGAACTGGAAAAGGAATATAATATCTCTAGGAGGGGAATTTATGACACAGGATGACACAGCTGGGAAAACAAACAAACAAAAAAAAACTTAAAGGACAACAGTCTGTGGGTTGAAAATTCGCAGAAGAGTGAGGAACTTAATTAAAGAAAGATGTTAAAAGGTTCTTCCTTGGTGGAACTCCTTCAACTCAGTATGAGTCTAAAGAAAAACACAGCAAGTGCTGCTGTGAGAGAAGGGAAGCACAGAAGAGACTTAGGAGTTTTCTAGTGCTTTTGATGGCATCAATATTGAAGTCGTCGTTCTCGTACACAATGACATGGTGAGAAAGGTACTGGAAAACAGGTACCAGAGCAAATGGAACTACTTGTACAGTTTTCTACCAAAGCGACCTGAGCCCAGACCACAGAACACCTCTGGAGCTTGAAACAGGTCTATTATAACAATGCCTGTGTCTTGCTTTCAAATACACTAGAGGAAAGATGAGAAAGCTGCTCAGCTGGATGTCTTTTCTCATGAAGAAGTCCAGAAACTACGAGCAGTGATAGTTCATAGGAGCACTGTTCAGAAATATGCAATTCATTTTCACCCACATGTAAGATGGTACTGCTTGAATGGTTAATACGAGCCTCTCTTACCTTCAGAGCTTTTTGTTTGTTTGTTTTTCACTATTGAGTGTTTGTGGAAGATCTGCCCTTCCTCCAGACAAAATGGGACTTTTTTTTTTTTTTTTTTTTTTTTTTTTTTTTTTTTAAAACTGCTCTGCAAAGCAGTTGGATCACAAGAGTGGTGAGTCTTGCACCCTGTAGATTGTTTCCAATCTAGTGACTTTTCCAGTATTTGGAACAAATCTGCAGTAGTGACAGTGACTGAAACAGTGAGCAACACAATAGCAGCTATAAACACACAAAAGGATTTCAGTTTGTATGCAATGGAAAGAGATTCTACTGAAGTTGCTTCTGCATGCCAAGCTAAGCTGCCTACTCTGCTGTGGTTCATGTGCTGTGTGAAGACGTACTCCAATATGGAACTGGAGAGCAGTTGTGCCCTACAGTCCCAAATGTTCTCAGGCAAAGGAATATAAGCTTGTTCAGTCCTAGATGACAACTGATAGACAGGAAAGTCTTGATTTCACAAAGTATGTATATGTGTGCTGTTATTGTTTGTGTGGAGTCCAGTTACTAAGATAACTACTCTAGAAATCTGGGACTTGCATAGGAGACCTACAGGAATTTCCTCAAGCAAATTTCTTCCTAAAAGAAATATACAGGCCACAAAAGCCAAAAAACTACACAGATCTCTGTTCCAGGTGAAAGGCAAATGATCTCTCCAAATGAGTTACAAGGTTTGTTACAACTCAGGAAGGCCACTTAACTGCAAAAAATGATGATTCAGTCTTGAATATCTTACCCGAATCTGCAAGTCACTGAGCTCAAGGCATCTGCACATTTCCAGGAAGAGCTTCACACCGTCCTCATCTAGGATTATATAGACTGGGATCCAGCGTTTGTAAGCTGCATTAACAATATCTCGGAAGATATCCTGGTCTGTAAATACATCCATGACCACTGCAATAATCTAGAAACAGGAAGACAGCAGACAAGCAACTAAATAAAATATTAGGAACTGAGAGGAAAGCCCATTTTAATGGTACAAAATAAAGGAGAGCACTGATAACAGAATATGGAAGAGTACACAGGTGAGACAGGAGTACAGGGATGTATGTGCCCACGCATTTCCAATAACCTTGTAATTTTCTGGCACGGCTCCTGCTGCATTTTAAAAAGAATGCAATAACTGACTGTCTTTGAGGGGTCTTCCTCTAAGGGAAGATGGCTATTTCAGCAGCCTGAAAAATGCCAAAGCGAAATACCCATTTTTAATCCAGTGTTGCGAAACTCTCTTTGCCTCCATTAGGATGCACTTAAACAAAGAGAAACACTGATAAAAGTCTAAAAAAGAAAAGTGAAAAACTCAGCCATAACACTTCTCAGAAGGTGAGTAATGGAAGAATGAACGTGCAGAGGAATCAGAGCATGAGTCCTCAGCTATAGTGCACAAAGCAGACAAAAAGAACTCTGCTCTCAGGGCTGGCTTCATGAGGAATGTCAAACATAAACATCTCATAATTGTAAGAAAGAGACTGGAGCACACATTCAAGATTTGGAGGCAAAATGATCATTTGCTCTCTTCACATGTATGTTTTTTCCTGGTATGAAACTTAATTCCTCTTTCCAGACACAGATCTTTTTATATAAAAGCAAGAAAGCAAAAGGTTGCACTAACATGACAGACAAGCCTGAACATTCATAGGATGAGTAACAACAAAAACAAGATGACTGTGGGCAACTTTTATGCTGACCTTACATGTTTTGTCTTCCTCTCCCCTTCTGTGTCTTTAACACTATTAGAAGAATCAATTCACTTTTTCTGCTGAAGGAGTTATGCTTCACAGCATCCTGAAAGCTATGAATGAAGGAAACTGCAGTTCTCCCCATCCCTAGGAACCACCAGCTTGGCAGGTCAGAGCTCTCACGCTGATGGTAGGCTGGGAGTAGAGCTGCCTAAATTCTAGCTTCCCAGGTGCCAGGGTCACAGCAACGAGCTGAGCTGTGCTGTGCTGTGCTGCAGACAGCACATATAACGTGTGAATGGAGCTGAAGACTACACCTAACAGTACAATTTTCTTCAGGTGATGTTTGGAAAAGGTGCAGCTCCAGTTGCAGTAGCTCCCTGTGGAAGGGGGGATAATTCTCACCAGGCACTTCTTTCCTTTGAAAATGCCCTTGAGCAAAATGGATGTGGGAAAGTGATAGCACAGTAAACGTCCTCTGTTTTTGTTGAGTCTCTCTGTATGGCCAACAATAACCAACAGCTCTGCTCTGTCACGCTCCTTCTGTCAGCAGTGCTTACACAAGCTGTTCCTTATTAGAAAAAGAAAAAACAAGAGCTGACATTGTGTTTATGTCCATCATTAACATGTACATTCCTGATACAGGTGAACTATGGAGGAGGTACATTACAAGCTAATTTTAAGTCCTTCAACAACTTCTCTTAGGTTAGAAGAACTGGATTTCAGCTCCCACCTTGGTCCTTACTTTCTAACTAAATGCAGCAAGAGGCAAGGAATTCTGAAAAATACATTGAAATTCCATCACTTCACTCTTCAACAACTTCACATGCAGGCACATTATGACTTAAGTTTTCAGGTATTAATTGAGGCATGCTGTGCTTTCTTAACCTTTCACACACACTGGTCTGGACGTCATTACTCAGCAGCAAGAACACCAAATAAAATTCATTTAAAATAAGAACATTAGCATAGAGAATTGATGAAAAATAGACAAAAGAAGTAGGAATGTATTTCCTTTCCATCCCCTCCATCCACAAGATGACCAACAACTGTAAAAACTGAAGCACACCCTGGACATACCACTGATTATTAGTACTGGCACTGTAATATGAAGGGACAGTTGCCTGCTGGCTTGGCAGCTCTAGGTCAGTTCAGGCTTGTTTGCAAGACTATGGACTTAACCCACAAATATGGAAACTAAGTCCATAGAAAAAGCTGATGAACTGCCTTACAGATGGTTCTTTCAAGTCTCAAAATGTGAAAGGGGCAACTGCGCTGTTGATGTTAGTCTTTCCAAACCCCTGACACTACAGATGATCTGTCAAGATAACCTAGGAGCATTCTCAAACACAGCAAGTCAGAGCATGAGCACCTACCCCACGTAGGAGTTTTTCTTTTCTCCATTCCCCTCTCTGCCCTATGGATAATAGTGCTACTTACCTGTAGGATCTATAGGTATGCCTTGCTCTTCATGGGTATTTACAGATTGACAAGCATTAACTTGCCAAAATCATTGCGGCAAGATAGCTCAATTAATGTACGTAAAACACTAATGATAAGCCACCCCTGGACATGTGCCAAATATTACTACTATCTCTTTAGGGCCACTCCCTCCCAAAAACCAAAACAAAGCTAAACACCAAAACAAACAAACAAAACCCCCACTCTAGGAGCTGAATGAAAAGCTCCTACCTGGAGATTTTACTCTCCAAGTCAGGCTTGATGGAAAACAATAGGTACTTACTTAAGAAAAAGACCATTAAACACTAAAATGGCTGTTAAACCTAAAACCACCTTTGGGCTGGGAGGGGGACAGCTCATCCGGCCAGTGAAAAATATATCTACAAAGAAATTAATTACCTGTGTTCCAGGCACAGGTATTGAAAAGAGCAAAGTTTGCCAGTTACCATACAATTTGTAGAGGCATTTGCAGCAAAGCAAGAGGATGCAAGTCAGAGCTTAAGCATTTTATAGCTTCTGGTTCTTCTGTGTGACTGATTGTGCCAGCAGTGGAATAGGATAACAGGGTGTGCATGTAGTGCTGCAAGCAGGGAGTGGAGAACACCCTCTGGTTAAACGTCTCTCTGGAAAATTTTCTGTGTTTCCCAGCAGATTTGCTTTAAACAAGCCTCTGCAAAGGCTGTGCATGCAGAGGGTGCGCTTGAAGAGTGGCGGTGAGGGAGAGTGCTGAATCAGAAAGCAGAAAAAACAGAAAGCAGCAAAACACAGAGAAGGAGTGAGGCGGCTTATGCTGCTGTCTCCTCTCCAGAGGGGAGATACCAGCTACAAAAAGGGCAATTTCACAGACAGTCTTTCCTGGAGATTTCACCCAGACCTAGAAAAACCTTGTCACTGCCCCCTAACTCTTTCATGCAAACTCTTGGAGCATCACGGCTGGCTTGTTTTCTTGCCAGAGGTGCACTGTCACCACTAACAGTCTTTTCCAGTCCAAGATAAACAGGAGGAACAGACTCATATTGTCTGGACTCTGGCTGCCTCGCAGTCAGAGCTGTACTGGATTGCAAACACAGAAAACAATCCAAAACAAACCAGCTGCCCTGTGTTTAACTGGGGTTACCTGCACGTACAGGAGAGGCAGCTGGAGCAGCACCACGTCCTGCCTGCCCTCTGGATCATACACTGCAATTGGGCAGGAAAAAAACAAACCACGGCCACAAAATCGTAACGGGGGTCTGGGGGTGAACCCATTCCAGACGTCAGCTTTGGCAAACTGCAGTGTGATGGGTGATGAACCGCATGGAAAACCCAGCCTGGTGGCAACCAGGAGAGCGAAGAATAGCTGGTGTGGTGGTTGGCTCCTGCCACCCCGCGTGTCCCCAGCCCGGCCCTTCTGCCTGGGTGACCAACACGTGGTCACAGCCCAGGCACAAATGCACAGAGGCCGCTCCTTACCTTCTGTGCCTGTTGGATCATCTCCCTCACCACCTCCTTCAGATGGGGCACGTTCTCCTCCTTGCGAGGGTGCGTGAAGAGGGCCACACGGCTGATGCCCCGGTAGAAGGTCTTGTCGGTCCAGCCCAGGTCCAGCGGCGGGACCTCCGTGTCCGAGAGCTCAGGCCAGTAGGCCAGCGAGACGGCCTTGCCGCCGGGGCCCCGCATCACCTTGGCACTCTCCCGCGGGTCTTCATATGCCCGCCAGCTGCCCCGCAGGGCCTGCAGCTCCTGGCTGGAGAGGAAGTCCTGGAGATGCTCCTTTCGCAGGGTCTCCCTGTATGCGGCCTCGCCTCGGGTCACCAGCGTCTCCAGGGCTCGACGTTGCTCCTCGCTATAATAGAAGCAGGCCTGCGCCTCTGTCACCTTCTCGTTGACGTGCGACTCGTCCAGCAGGAACACCTGGGAGTCCGCCATGCTGCCGGCATCCGCAATGCCGGGAGGCTGTGGAAGGAGGGAAAGGCAGGGCCGGCACCGCCTCACCTGGCCTGCCCGAGCCCGCCCCGACAGGTGGAGCAGCCGCACCGCCCCGTGCCGGCCCCTCACGCTTCTCTGGTTCAATGGGAATATGGCTATCCTCTTCATTTTGGCCCCCTCCCAGGCCTGTCTGCCTGCAGCTCTGACCATTGGGGGACGGGGGTGGTGCTCCCACAGCATGCCAGGCTGGCTGTCCCTGACTGCTGTGCCTGGGGAGAGCCAGGCTTGAGCTGCTGCTGTGTCTTGCAGGAGAATCATTGAATAGCTTAGGTTAGGTTTAGGGGACCTCACAGCCCACCCAGTCCCACCCCGTGCTGTGGGCAGGGCTGCCACCCACCAGCTCAGGCTGCCCAGGGCCCCGTCCAACCTGCCCTTGACTGCCTCTAGGGGTGGGGCACCCACAGCTCTCTGCACAGCTGTGCCAGTGCCTTGATGCATTCTGAGTAGAGCATTTTCCCCTAACATCTAACCTAAATCTCCTCTCTTTTAGTTTAAAGCCATCCCCTCTTGTCCTATAGTGTGCAGGTGTGTGAATTCAAAAATCTATTTAAAAGGGTTTTGTTTTTTTTTTTTCTTTTTTTTCCTTTTCTTTTTGAAGGTGACTGCATTCATCAGGAATGAGGCAATGCAGGCAGACCATGACAGTGGCCACTGGGCCCTGCTGGCTGCTAGCCAGCCCCCTCCCAACCCACCAAAAGAGCAGCTCAGTGACTCCCAGAAAGCCCAAAAAGCAGGAGGTGGATGCCGTGTTTACAAGCAGTAGGATGACAGAGCGATTTGCCCAAGGCTGCCCAGCAGGCTGGTGTCAGAGCTGAGAATAAAACTGAGCATCTCCAAGACTCTGGCTGGGAGTGTGAATAAGTAGCCCTACACGTGTCCCAGCTGAAAGACTGGGGGCTGTTATGTTAAATGATTAATTTTGCGTGGTATGTGATAGTTGCTAGGGGCCCTAATCAAGATGCAGGCCTCATTGAGGTTTGCAGTGCATACACAAAGGATAAAAAGCACTTCTTTCCCCATTGTAGCCCAAGGACAGCACAGACAGAGATGTGCAAGGAAATGGGTATAAAGGCAAGGCAGTGGTGATATACAAACATTCAGAAGCATTTGCAGGGCTTTTCATATGTGATTAGCCCTAATTGCTCACATACACAAAATGCACAAACTGAAGGAATAGAGCTGGAGGATCTGCTCTTTGTCTCCTCCCTGTAAATGATCACCTGTGCTCAGTTTGTTATAAAAAATCCATGGAGGAGGTGAAGCACTGTAGCTCTTCCCTGATTTTCTCCCTTAAAATGGAAGGGAGAGTTTTAGCATTCCAGACTGTCATCGATAGCTTTTCCTGTCATGAAATTCACTTAAAATTTGAAAATGCACTTCGTGGAACCTACTCCTGTGCCTTTCAAATCTCTTAAAAAATACAATTTCAATATATGCTCCTTTAGATTGATTATTGTGGAAACAGGGCTTATGTGGCAGTGGCGTCTCTATTTGTCTGCTTGTCTGTCCATCTCTATTAACTTCTGAACCCACTGGCTGATTTCAAATAAAGGTGGCAGAGGCATAATTATACCCCTACAGGTTTTGTGAAAATAAAGAGCCTGATAGCAAAAATAAACCCTATCACAGTCCCTTGGCAGGGAAAGTTGCATTAAGGGTTCACGCCTTATTAGACTTCAAAGATTCCATAAAAGTTGGAACACTAGTAAGTTCCTGAACTGTATGAAAAGCTTCAAATGAAGTTTATGCCATGTTAGACACCCCAGTCAATCAACCACAATATACAAATACACAGGAGATTCTGCTTTGTTAGTGTCAGTACTCACTGAACTACTTTTTCCTTCTGCACCAGAGGCTGCCGTCAGCTCTGCAATTTCATGTGGAGCTAAGTAAAATCTCTTTAATCCGGGATGCTCTATTCAATTGTAGCTGCACAATGTAAGATTTTCTGTTCAGCTAAGGCTGCCACATGAAAGCAACAGTGGGTTCACAAATGCGTGCTTAGTTTTATGTTAAAAGCAAGTGAATGTTTCCCACATCCAAGTGAAAGCAACAGCGATTTTCAGCTTGCTGTGATGACATGTTTAGCCCCCATCTCTCACTCTACAAGACAAAGTGTTGTCTCTATGTTGATATGAGAAATAGGGGCATGGAGCTGTGCAAAAGCTGAGAGAGACACTTCTCCTATGCACGCATGGTGTCGTTGTCCCCCCTCGCCACCTGCTCTTCCAGCTAAACATTCCAAACACGAGTATTTTCCATATGAGGTTTTAAAAAATCTGATGATTCAATCTCTTTTGATATACCCTGACCCTCTGGCTGACAGCCTCACCTAAAAGACAGGCAAAAACAACCATGGAAACAAACTGCCCTCGCTGTCCCAGAGACAACCCAGCCCTTCAGGACTGGAGACTAAACATAGCAAACAGGGAGGGGGAACTGTGCCTGGCTGGGGCTGACAAGTGAATTCCAGTTTCCACTCTAGATGAGATTCATTACTGTTTCAGCTCAGGTTTTCCACTCTGACCTTAGCATTGGCTCAAGAGAAGGGAAAGAGGGGAAGCCTGCTTTAGGATTCAGCTGAGGCTGCTGCGAATCCAAGCAGACCTTTGATTAGATATTAGAACTTTAATTTATTATTATTATTATTATTTTTTCCTGGGAATTACTTACTGAAGGGGGTGCCTATGATTGGGCAGAGTTGGGTCTATCATTTGACCTCTGCTTGGGTGTTGTCCCAGCCAAGTCCCGGTTAAGGTCTACCTGACTTTTCTGGTTGAGTTCCAAAACGTTTTCCAAAGGAAGTAAACTAACCTATCAGGAAATATTACCTCTCACTGTAACCCTCTCCAACCCCATTACAGTGCTCTAAATCTACTGCCTTCAAACACCTCCCACGCATATTCTGCTTACTTGGGCCTAATTGCTTTGCTTTCCTTTGCAAGAAAATGCAGGTTGTGCTTTAGATAAAGATATGACACCTTATATTTAGCATTAATTGTAACTGTGCTCGTCCATACATCTCTCTTACCCATCCTTCCTGTGTAATTTCAGTCCTTAAATAGCCCATCTCATGAGATAGTCGTCGATAAACCTCCCAGCGGTGTTTTGCTTGTGACAAAATGCTACAGGCTCTTGTTATACAACTTTGGGTACTCAGTTCTTAGGGAATAAAACTCAATGCCTTTCCCCTCACCCCCTCTTTACTTCTTCTTTCTCCCAAGAGTAGTCAACATGCAAAATAGGAGTAAAAACATGGGCCAATATTAAAAAGAAAAAATAATTCTATGAGTTTTCTGAAGGGAGTGCAGAATCATAGAATGGCTTGGGTTAGAGGGGATCCTTCAAAACAAAACAACATGATTTACCAAGATATGCCTAGTTAACCCTACTGCCTTTTAGCTTTTTAAAAGTGGCAACTGGTTAAAAATGAGTTTTGCAAATAGAAGAGGCTCAATGTTGGATACAATGGATGTGGGATACATGACTTTGCAGTCTCAAAAAGGAATAGTAAGTAAATAGGTTGTGCTAAAACACCACTCCTTACCTGTGCTGCCTGGCACCAAAGCAAGAGTTGCAAAGGCTTGGTGCAGATTGCATCTTCCTGATCTGTTATCTTGCAGGCAGCATCCAGGAGTTTGTGGGAAGGACGTTACACACACAGCCAGCCACGCTAAGCCTGTCCCAGGCCTGAAATTCCATTTGCAAGGGCTGCCAATCTGGGCCAAGAATGGGTGTGTTAGTCACATCCTAGTGCTGGCAGAGCTAAAAAATCTGAAACAAGGTGATTTCAGGGTGAATAGGAAAAAGCATTTGCCTTCACTGTTCTCCCTCCAGCGAGCTGGAGAGCTGCAGGCAGTGGAGGGTAGGTGTGTCACCTCTGCAGCAGTGACAGGGCTGCAATCTAAACGATGAAGAAATGCTTTCAGATGCTTCCTTTCTGTCATATTACACTGCCTCAGGGAGAAAAACGTAGCTGCTGAATTGGAGAACTGCCGCAACTGAGTCAAGTGCTTCTGGCCTCCCACTCAGTCTTTCAGCTGTTGTTTCCATGTGAAAGTAAATAGGTATAGAGTCCTCTGAAGAGAGCAGAAAGGAGCAACTGTGTTTGCGGGCTCATTTCTTGAAGCGAGGTATTAGCTGACTGAGCACACAGAAAGGCCTGTAGCTGTTTTCCCTGGCTGCTCCTATTTACCAGGCGACACTTAGAGGCAGTTTCCTATAAGAAATCACGCTGGCCCAGGCCTCTTGCTTCATCTTTCAACTGCTATAGAAGCAAAAGCCAATACCCCAATGCCTTGTTTCAGTTCAGAACACAGCTGAGCTACAGAGGGGCTTCGGCCAGGTCATCTGTTATGCCTCAGATCCCTGTCTGTAAAATGAAGATAATATTGCTGTGTTTCACAGAAATGCTACAAAGAAGAGCTTAAAACCCCCCACAACCAACCAACCAGAAAAAAAAAAAAAAAAAAAACAGCAGTGTCTCTTACATTTGCTTTGGCTTCTGCAAAGCCAAAGCAGAAGAGGAGGAGATGGAAGAGCCAGATAGCAGTAAAGTCCCTTCACAGATGAGTTAAGCTCTGAAGAGAAGATCTCAAGAAAGAAAATAGTGGAGAATAAATGGCACAGTGTCAGAACAGGATGCTTAATGCAGCTATAATGATGCAACTCTCACAGCACAGTGTACTTTATAGACAATGGAACACAAATAACAGGACCTGAGGGAATGGCGTAGAGCTGTCGGGGGGGACCAGGTAGGGTGTTAGGAAACGGTTCTGTACCAGAGAGTGGTTGGGCACGGAACAGGCTCCCCACAGCCATTGTCAGAGCCCCAAGAGTTTGAGAAGTGTCTGGACAGTACTCTCAGATGGATTCGGAGTGGTCCTGTGTAGAGCCAGGAGTTGGTCTTGGTGGTCCTTGCAGGTCAGCTTGGGATATTCTCTGATTCAGTGGGGTAGAAGATATTGGCTAGATGGAGTTACATGCTGATAGCAAGGAGATGTTCGGGTACAGTATGGTGGATAAGAGAGTCACTGGAAGGAATGCGAGAGAGAAATAATTTGTCTAAGAATGAACAAATTCAGTAAAAATCTGTACAGTCAGTAGAGGATAGCACAGTATGACATATAGGTAGCTGAGATGAGGCCTAGGAGTCCACAGTGTCGTCCTGGAAGCTTAAAGAGCAAGATAAAGCAAACCAAACAAAAAAAATCCTGCTTTGTGTAAGGAGAAGGAAAGAATAAAACTGTTAGGCTTGTCAATTAGATTATTTGTTAGACAGCTAATCATTACGAGAATACATTGAAATAAATGTGTGATCCTTAAACTACAATAATAAA